TTCAGTGCATACGCAGGGCTGGGGGTGATATGTAAGACACATTCACTGTATCTTTAAAAAAAATCCCACATGTGCTTTATTAAAGTTAACTCCTTACATCATGCTGGAAGTTAACCCTTCCTGGCAGCAGATGCTGGTTTTAAGTGTTAACGTTGTCTTTGCATTCAGCACAGTCAAGACCAATGGCAATAGCAGACCCGTGTTCCAAGCCCATTTCTCTGAAAGGAGGATTTTTCAGTCTCACTCTAACAGCAAGCCCCTGCTTGATCTCTGTAACAATTTTATGTGGTGTGAATGATGACGAAGTTTTAGTGGTGTTTCATTTATAGCTGATGTCAGTGCACAGAGTTGCTGCTATGATGTAGAAGAAGATGGCTTGCCTGTTCAAAAACAGCTGAAGAGGAAAGAGAACTGATGAAGAGCTGCTTGTTTTAGTTGATTTTTCATTGCTGTTCCCAGCTAAAGTGGTTATGCAGGGATTTGGGGTGTGCATGACAGCAGGGGTGTAGGCAAAGTTTCTAACTGCCTTTGTTATGTGGTGGTAGGAGAAAGCGGCTCGACTCCAGAGTGAGAAAAATATTTCCCCTCCCCATGGCTATATGGGGCATTTAATTCTGATTGCTCCATACAAGAGAAGGTACAAGAAACAGAGGATGAGACTGCACGTACTTCTATCCTCTCAGTGAGACATGGGGACTCCCAAGGCACTGCAGAGGGGTCAGCATGCCACGAGTGCCAGGTTCCGTGCAGTTCTCCAGGTCCATAGTGAGAAACGTAGTGAGGCTGGAGCCAAGACCTCTAGAACCAAGCTGTAAGAACTCAGATACCTCAGAAGGAGAAACAAATGTAAGTGTGGTCTTCCACAGCATGCAGACCTGCTCCTGCCACTGCGCTTTGCATCCAGCTGTACTTATCCCACTGGACTCAGGGAAAAGCAGTATCAGCCTTTCTTGTAACTAACACCACACTGAGGACCCCTTTTTCTCTTTTGGCCTCTTTTGCATTCTTCTGTAAGAGTGACATGAAAGCCTTGCTGTCTGATTTTGAACTGAAACTAAATAGTGCAAACTTTGTGTTATTTAAATTTTCAAGCTGCTGTTTCCAGCACCGCAAATGCTATGAGGAAGCACTGGAGAAGGAGTGCACATGGGATCCATCAAAGATTTCTACAGATGTCAGCTGCTCTGCTGAAAACCTCACCTGTGGTAAGATTAACCTGTTGCAAGAGTGTAATATTGGAGCCTCACCATGACCAATAAATGCATTTTGGTCTAGCTACCAAAACTCATATATAAATTAAGCAGAAAACACTTCCATGTACAGATTTTTCTTCTCAAGGATGAACACAAATAGTACTACAGAAAGGTGTGAAAGCCCAACTAGGCAGGAAAATTGAAGTAAAATAAGGAGAAACTTGCCAGAGCTTCTCTAATAGGCAGCCTTTTGCTGAGGTTTCCCTGGTTTTACAGGACCACTAAGGATCGCTCAGGATATCTCCACACCTCAGCGATGCAGTGGATGCTAGGGAAAAAAAGAAAGACCTGAAAAACTCTTCCTTTCTGAAGCTTCAAGGCCTGATTTTTATATACTTCACTTTGAGGGGCCAGATTCTTTGTTCACAGGATCATACATACTCATCAGACACAAGAGTATCCCCAAGGAGGGCAGAGGCCATGCTGTTCTAACAGCTACTCCATGCATCACTAATACAGTCTTGGCAAGTGTGGAGTGGAGCTCTTCAATGCCTGGTCAATCCTAATATAATTTTTCAGCTTCTTAAGCAACAACCAGATCTAATTTCCTTTTCTTGTTTCAAACGAAAACCATTTTTGCTATTTAGGCCACTCTATAAAAGTCCAAGTGCATCTAAACATGAATAGTGTTTTTTTTAGCTCTTCACGTGCTTAATAATCAGAAAGCATTTTGTTCAAACCAAAAATATGAAATCTGAGTGTGACAGCTCAGAAAGGTCAATGTGTTGTGTTTTTTTTTTTGATACCCTGAAAGGTAGAAGATTTTGAAGTGGGAAAATAGTATATCCTGGGAAACTGTTTCATAGCCTTTAGAAAGAGAAAAACATATATTCCGTGAAAGGCTTGCAGGCTGTGACTTCTTGAGGTTAGGAGGAACATTTTAATGAAGTCTGTGAAATATTGAAATTGGTATTAGCTGGGATAAGTTTTCTGTGGAAAAACAAAAGGCAGGAAAGCACTGCTTTGTAATCCTCATTACTGTGCAGAACAAACCAGCACAGGCAAGAATTCTGCTGCCAGCTGTGCCAGGCTGCATTGGATGGTGTTTCACAAACCCAAACTGTCTTGGATGCTGAAACCTGACTGTGTTCAACCTGGAGGGTTATAAATAGGCTTGCACTGATTAATACAGACACAAAACTTATATGGGGGAAAAAGGAGGAGGTAGAAAGGTTATTTCAACAGTGCCTTGTTTGAATTTTAATGTCATTTCCAGAGTCTGGAGATCCCTGTGAACAGTTCCTCTGCAACTGTGACAAGGATGCCATTGAGTGCTTTGTGAATGCACATGTTAACTCCTCCCTGAATGGGCTGGATGTCTCCTTCTGTCCATCTCTGCCTACAGGTAATAATAGGGACCTGATCCACTGCCTCCTCCTGCCATTTCTTCTGCTGGCATAAGATTTTGCCCAGTGAGAATGAAGCAATAGCTGGGTGCTTTCCTGCACTAAATCTGGTGGTCTGTCCTATTCTCTGTTTCTTGTGTCCTTTCCATTTACTGCTATTCAAGTGAATACCGAGAGAAAAGAAAGTCAGCTAATTGCCATCCTGGAGCAAGTCCAGGAGGGGTTACCAAGCTGGTGAGAGGGCTGGAGCACATGATGAAAGAGGAGGAGGCTCAGGGGACATCTTTTGGCTGCCCTCAATACCAAGTGGACTATGTAGAGAAGATGGAACCAGACTCCTCCTGGAGGTGCACAAGGACAGAACCAGAGGCAAGAGACAACTGCAACAGGGAAATCCCAGTTAGATATGAAGACATTTTTTCAGGAGACTCCTGCCAACTCTGTGAGGCTCTTGCCAGCCTGAAGGAATGGGTGAAACTTGGGGTGATTAGTGACCCACTGAGGTCACTAGCAGGAAAGCCAAACTGAAAATATTGCTAACTCAAATCTCCCTGTCAATCATGGAAAAACTAGCTGGAAAGGCAAAAACAGACCCCCTTGGCCCTTTTACTTGGTTTCCATCTTTGAAAGAAAAATAATCTCTGAGGATGAAAGAGTTATTTATATCCATTATCATACGGTGATCCATGCTCTATAGCTGAAATTACAGCCTTATAAGACTGAATACCTGTCCTGTGGGAACAGGGCTGGATTAAAACCTTAATTCATATGGATTGCAATCAGAGCATGGCTCATATTCATACACCCCAGTGATAACAACAAACATATACACCTTTATAATGTTCTGGATGCATGCATCCCCTCGTGAATAAGTCAAGGGGGAAGAAAATGCCACAAGAAAGTTTGCATCAAAGCCAGAAAATTGTTTCATGTAAGCCAGTAATCTTTTACTGGGATCAGATGACTCTAATATAAGGTATGACAGTTCCAACACACTACAAATAAAAGGGAAATTGTTAGGTGTTAACAGGAAAATCATGTTGATAAAGACAGATTGAATTTTAGCTCAGTAAATACCTCCATTAATTTTAGTCTCCTGATTATATTTCTTAACATAAAAAAAATGTTTTGAATTAAACTGTTATTTTAGTACTCATTCATGTTATTATCTTTCTATGCAGCTATTCTGCCCAGTGCAGGCTTTGCAAAAAAAAAAAATAATCCTATCTGAAAAATTTCTGCAAAGGATTTCTGAGAAAAGTTTAATGAAATAGGGATCTATTTGCCTAAATCTTTTCTTTAATAGGAACAAAAGCAATGATTTCCTGATTTGTACAATTCAGATTAAATGGAAAAAAAGCCCTTTCTCACAGATTTGTCTATGAGAGAGCTTTCTCCTTTTCAGAAACAACCAGCAAGGGAGAGATGACAACACTTCACACGGAGGGTATGACCTTATCTCTGTAATACTTTGAATAGTATACTAAATCAAGATGTATTTATACTGAGAAAAAATAGTACTTTGGAAGCTATAAGTTCCTTTCTGAGAAGCAAAGACAAGTTTTAGTAAGATATCAAAATATAAAGGGAAAAGAAAAGAGTCTAATAAACCAAAGTACCAATTTTATGACAAGCTTTCACACAGGTGAACAGGAAAATTTCAGCCAAATGACTCCTTTTTCTGAGACAGAATTCAGAAGACAACCCTGAATCTCATTTAGAAATAATGTAAGAAGAAACACAGTAGAAAACACTAATAGTTTCAGATTGATCCTTCTCCATTTGTATGCACATTTTAGGCCTTGTTTCAATGAGGTTTGTAGCCAAGTGCCTGGATTTAAACATTCAAGTTTTCTGATTAAAAGTTCAATTCTTATCTTTATACCTTCACTGTAGGCCACATATTTAAGTACCTGCTGGAAATGCTGATTTCTACCCAATTTCTCTTGTTTAGGTTGAGATTCTTTATGACAGACATTGAGTGACTTCTTTATTATTATTATACTGTATGTTACCGACTAGAATTTAGTATCAGCAGTGAATAAATGCTAAGGCAGGATTTTAATACTGCTACCGTAATTATCAATAATTAAGTTTGTATTTGCTATATTTATATAATATAATAACTCTGCAAAAAGTACAACAGCAGTAATATAAGTTCCATTCTGATCACTGATCCTGTCATGCCAAGATTTAGTCTAAGGCATGACTCTGGAGTAAGAATGTTTTTATTTTTGCAGAATTCCTTCATCATAGGACTGACAAAACAAAGGCTGCAACTGCATCTGTGGAAGGTTTGCAATTACAATGCAAGAAGCACTGTTTTCAGCTCCCAAAAGCTAAAAGAACAAAATACAAGAATAAGCTCTTTGCTTTCTTTCTGCCTTTCTGAAAGGCCTGATATAAAAGCAGATATAATGTTTCAGTAATGGAATTCAAGCCCGAATGAGGAGGTGCAATTTTCCAATTTGTGCATGTGATGTGCTTAACCGGTGCTTACAGTAAGTTTCCCAAGGGCTGAGAATGAGCCCTCTGTGACAAAACCTGTTTTCATCCAAGCAGACCTTTTTTTTTCTTTCCCTGGGAACAGAGGTTGCTGCAGGTGAGCTGTCTGGCAGAGATGTGCTGTGTGGGTGCCAACCACTGGACCCACAGCCAACTGCATATTTGTTGTCTTTAAAGAGACATTATACAAGATCAAGCAGTGACACAAGGAAAAGTTGAGCATGGGTAGTTCCTGAACCACAATACCAAGTGGTTCTTTGTTTTGTTGTTTGTTTGCTTTTTTTTTTTACTGCTACAATCAATAACAATCTCATTCAGGAATGGATACTTGCAGAATCTCATTGCTGCTGTATGTCAAAACTTCCCTCTTCCTACCTGCCTGGTGTGCACTACAGCACAAGAGGCCATGGCCAGCAGTCACCAAAGCCACGGGCAGCTGTGGGAGGGCACACCAAGGTAGTGAGGGCCAAGTTACACAGCTGGAAAACAGAGAAGGACACCAGTTTTGCACCATCCATTGTCCAGTTTAGCTGAAGCACTCTGGTAACGTGTCCCCACCACAAACAGAGCCACACTGTCATGTACAGAGACCCTGTATCTGCCAAGCACACAAGCAAAGTCCGTTGGATGGAGGCGACCAGGCCACTGCTCAACTCAGAGGAGCTTGGGAGTTATTTCGTGGGAGCGAGGAGAAGTGGAAAGCTGCACTTCTTGAGAACTTTGGAACTTGTTTTCAAGTTGCTCCTCTATTTTTCTCAAAGTGAGCCATCGCCCTAAGTATGAATCTGGAATAATGAAAAAAAAAACACATGGAATTTTTTCCATCTTCTCCTTTTTTTTTTTCTTTTTTCTTTCTTTCCTTTTTTTTTTTTTTTTTAAGAAACAAGGCTTCAGATTTAACAGGGTATTTTTATTTTTTAAAAAAGCACATGCACAGAGGTACCTACCTAAAAGGCTTTATGCAGAGTGTAAGTGCTGGCTGTTCGTTCACACCTCTTCTTTATTATCTCCTCTATTATTATTGGATTTTTTTCAAGGTATTTATTGGTCTCACCTAACAACAGCTCCAGTATTAGTTCATGTTTTTCTAGCTGCTTCCAGGAGGCTTGGTTGTAGAAAACAGAGCTCCTGAAGGAGTAAGTGCATCTGTATTTGCACATTTGTAGTAGTCATTTACTTACTGAAAAAAACAATTACTCATGCTCTCTAAAAAGGCATAGTTAGTTCATCATACAGCTCAAAATACTGCCAAGGGACAAAAACCTGTATTATGAATTTTAGAAAGCTGAAAACATATCAGAGACAGCATATCTAACCAGATTTTGAAGGAAAAATTTGGAAAACCATTTATTTAACTAGTTGTCTCCCCATTTAAGCTCAAAGGAGCTTCAACTTTGACAACTGTGGGAACTGCATTAAACCAAAGTTTAGTATTTCTCAGCAACTCATTTAAAGGCAAAGACATTCTTCTGCACACTATATCCTAAAAACACACAAAAAGATGAAGAAATGATTTTTCAGATAATGTGATAGGTAGGTTTAAAACTTACCGAAACAGCTGACAGATGAAAATCATTTTACTAGGTAAAGAAATAAGTTAGAGGTTAGGATAGTATTTGGTCTTGTAGCTGCCTGTCCATACTTGACTTTCAGTGCAGGTGAACAGAAGGTGCTCGTGAGAAATGTGTCATCCTTCTGTGTGCAACAGTGAGATTTTAGACCTAGTCCCCTTTAGTGTATCTGTCAAATGGATTTAATGCCAAATTTGCCACTTCAGCCGTATTTATGCTTCTTTGTTAGTGTAATGCACATCATCTGAATGCAGCAATGAGATCATTTTATCAGTATCACTTTGTCTACAATAAACGCACCACTGAGAAGATCAAGCAAATGTCTGTACATGAAATACCTGAATCTTCCTGCTTTGCCAAAAACAACTCTTCTCAGGAGCTTGACTGTTCACAAGAGTTTGTTCTGGTAACTTATTTTTTGAGTTTACATTTTCTGTCTTGACCAGTGATTTATTTTGAGCACAGTGAGACAGTCCTGGGGACGTCCAAAGCCAGAGGTAAGAGTCTGGTTGTATTTTTGTTGACAAATCAGGCACTCTGGACTCCTGGTGTCTGTGGTGTCACAGACAGAAATCTGCAGCACAGGATTTCTGGATAATACCTCTAGTTCTTCTGCTATCTTGAACATCCTTCAGCAAAACACTTCATTTCTCCTAATTATTCTGATGACCCCTCTTTATGAAACAGGTCTAACAGAGATGTTTGATTAAGCTTTATGATGTTTTCAGTAAAAGTTACTCCAGAAATGCATTGCAGAAATACAGCAGGTAGTTCACAATGATGCCTCTCTGTTTTGGTACAGTTACCACAAGGGACCACAGAGGTAGATCTCCTGCTCCCCCTGTCTTCTTCATAAAAGGTCAGTCACTCTCAGCTTTCCTTTTTCTTTGACTGACACAACAATATTTCATCTGAAAGCATCACGGTCAAAAATCCATGCATGATGATAACAGGGCTGCTGGAGAATCAAATTTAGATCAGGGTCAGATGGCAGATAAACAATGAATAAAATCACACTGAGAAGTATTAGCTGTTCTTTGCCTCAAGCCACTCGTACACACTCCTCATCCAAGTGTTTGTGAAAACCTCTGCACATAAGGGTTTTCAATATAATGGTTGTTTTTTAAAATTACACCCAGGGCATCTGCTGCCAGAAGGTTTAATTTTGATTTTGCCTCCTCCTTTATTATACAGAATTTCAAGGAATTCTTTCCAAGTCTAAAACCTATTTCAGCTTTTGCAGTTGTTGCTGCTTCGAGCACAGTCACCCTGGTAGCTACAGCTGGAAGTGGAGAACCTTGGTAGAACTGGAAGTTTTCGGTGGCCCCTTTGTTCAGAAAGGATCACTCAGGCAGACTGAAATGCACCAGAAAAATGTTAAGGAACAGTGAATATGGAGAGCTGAAACTAGTAAATTTTTGGCTCTGAGTACACTAACTGACTAGTTTTCATATCTCCCAGCCCAATACAGAAATTTGGCATTGCTGTGCTATGCCATGGTCAGAAAAATCACTAAATGTTCTCCTCCTGTAACTTGAATGTATCAGAAAATCTGAGTGTTGTGCTGCAGATCTGCATAGCTCCCAGAAGATTATTTGTAGTATCTATTTTTAGCTCAGTGCAGAATTTCCCAAACTCCACTTTTATTTTCTACATCTAGCAGGAATCACTTTCGTTTCAACACAGCACTGTCAAAAGAAGTAGCATAAAATCTGCACCTTGCTGTGTTATTAAAACTAGCACGTTGCTATTGATCCCTTTCTGCAGCCTTTCAAGGGCTTTGTTGTGTTCTTAGCAGGACTACCATTTTTTTAGATCTATTTTCTTATCCCATGACAGGTTATTTTCAACACATAATAAAACAAGAACATCAGAGGGACAAATTTAGCGCATTTGAGTTTAAGCCAATTAGTAAATTCAGCCAAGGAATTTAAAAGGAAAGGCTTTAAAAGTGCGGAAATACATGTTCACAAGTATTTTCAAAGAATTTGTTTGTTAAATACCACATCCTTCATGCTGACATTTAGCAAAAAATGAAACCATTTGATGTCATTTGATATGTGTTTTCATTGACACGCTAGCATATATAAAAAGGCTAAAAAGAAAGAAAAAAGGTGTTAAGTAATCCCCAGATTAAACAAAACATTTCTGCTCAACAACAAAGCTTCAGATAGTCTAAACATAATTACCAAATAAATTTTTAGGATAAAGAATCTCCTAAAATTATGCTTCTATTCCTTATTTTCCTCTTGGTATTATCCTTGTGGTTGTAGTGTAGTAAATCCTCCAGTTGCCCAGCTCTGCATCAGTCAATTTTCTGTTGCTACTAATGTTGCTCTCAGTTTTGGTACCCTCATGTGAACTGACATGATTTTTAAGCAATTTATTCAGAAAATGATATTTCATGACCTCTGACCTGCATTTCATCTCTCAGTGTGGCAGACTTACCAGCAACCCCTGTTATTTCCAGCAACTGGTACAGCTCTTTACCTCACTATGCAACATCATTTTATTTATTTTTTTTTAAATAGTCAGCAGTTAAAATGGTCACATTTAACCAGCATCATTTCTTCTGAAAAACAACAAAGGTGAAGAAAAGAGACGTGTGGATGCTCTTTGCTTTCCCAGTTTCCGTCTTGGGTTTTTTTTCTCTATGACCATCAATTCACACCAGTTCTTCCTTTGACTGTTTACCTAAAATGAAAACTTTCCATGTCTTCTGCTTTCTGCTTATTCAGAAGAGGATGGATTTATGGACGCTGTAGTCCCAGTGGAAGAGATAACCACCTCCTCAGACTCATTCCCAGCAGATATTATCTCAATGCAAGTCAAAGTTGTCCCTACTGAGAAGATTCCTGCAGGCATATCTGCAAGGACAAAAGAAAAAGGCAAGTAAAAACTGAATTACACCTATTCTAATTTACAGCACTCCCCTGTTCCTGTTCTTAGCTACCTGAGGATTTGGCATTTCTTACAGATCTATAGAATACACTATTTTCTCCCTAAATCTGGATAGACTACATAGAATACAGGGTGCACAACACTGACTGCACTGGAAAGAGCAGGTCACTGTCAAACACTGACCAGGCAAGCTTAACTAACCATTAATGAACAGTATTTTAACTATGAACTGTATATTAAAAGACTGCCGATTGGTTATGGTTATGTGCACTTTTGGACACATTACTGAAATAAGAGTTTATTCTACATTTTCCAGTCTCCTCTATGCATATGTCACCTCCAGAGACAAGCCTTGCAAGTGGGGGCCAGAGCACATCTTCCTCTGGAATAGCTCTGGAACTGTTACTGTCTGACAGGCAACCAAATGAACCTGCACAAAAAGGTAAATGAAGGGATTTTTCTCAGTTACATCTAATGAAACCTTCAACTACTTCTAAATTAAGAGGTAGGTGTATATTAAATATAAATATTGTAGTTGTTCTAAACCAGTGAGACAAGCACATTGTATTGGTAGTTATCAAAACAACAGGATGTGCAGTCATCTGCAAAAGGTTCCATCAGTTTAACCTCTTCCACCAATGTGGTATCATTAACACTCAAAAAACCTATTTATGTTTAGGTTATAAGTACATTCTTCATCCAGTACAAGATCTAAAGTGAGCTTGGTGAATGTTTTCTCTTGCTTTAGTTCTTATCAGTTTAATCATGTAATTGAGGTACTTTATTTTAAAAGCAGCAGAAGCAATGAAAGGACCTTCCCCTGCTCCTCACTCTGACCTCTTGCCAAAGCTTTGCTGGAGTTGGCCTTTTCTCACCATTTCTGATTCTGTTCCAGCTCCTGCTCAGATTTTACTGAGATTCCAAGATATTTCAGACCTGTTACTGCTGTAAATCCACACTGATGGACTGTCCCATCCATCTTGTTGGGCTTCTCAGTGGAGAGAAGCAGTCCCAGATCTGGAAAAGCAGACACAAGGGATCAGCCCATCCTTTCATCAGATTGGAAAATTTGATTGTGAAATATCAGCTCTTAGAGAGTGTACATCAGTGCATGATTCCAGGGTTCGTTCTTAGAGAATTAACATGAGTGAGCAAAGACCCAAGCAAGCACTTGGGCAGAATTTAGAATCATAGAATAGAATCATAGAATCCTTTAGGCTGGAAGAGACCTTTAAGATCATCAAGTCCAACCATTGAGCCAATAGGGCTCTAAAGTCCTCTGCTAAAACAGTTCAGAATCTGTCAGGGTTGGAAGGGACCACAAGGGTCACCCAGTTCCAACCCCTCTGCCATGAGCAGGGACACCTCCCACTAGATCAGGCTGCCCAGAGCCTCATCCAGCCTGGCCTTAAAGACTCCCAGGGATCGGGCCTCACTTTTCCTTCATTTCTCCTGCATTTGGGCTAGAGGCATCCTAGCTCAAATTGACCAGTACTTCAAATGAAAAAAATAAGTTTTTGTTTCCTCCAGCACAACACAGTCTTTGCCCAGCTATCACTTTGCAAGCACAAGAGGGTAGGACTCTGTTTTCTAAATTAGCCAGGACAGAAGCTACTGAATACTCATCTAAGTTTGAACATTTCAGAAGAAAACTTTAACTATGAAGGATTGGAAAGGATTGCAAAATAATCTCATTGTAATCCAGTTTGACTTGTGTCCCTGTCTTCATAGGAATCTCTCTCCCCTTTAAATATTTCCCCCCACTTCTGCTCTCTTGCTCAGTAGCATTCTAACAGCCATAGTACATGGGCTGGAGTAATAAATTAGTAATAGTAAAATGTTGTCTTTAAAAGTTTCTGATAGCTGAGAACATACTTCCATCATCACAAGAGAGCCCCCATTCAGTGAAAACATGATGTGTCAAATAATGTTTTTTGCTTTATAGTATGTGAGAGATTAACCTTTCTGCAAGAGAGAGGAGATGGAAGAGTGAAGAAGGAGCTGCCCCAGCTAGGAGAAATGCTCTTCTGTCTAACTGAGCGCTGCCCAGAGGAATTTGAGTCTTATGGTTGCTACTGTGGCCAGGAAGGGAGAGGCCATCCTGCTGATGCACTGGACAGGTGGGGGCTGCTCTGTAATCTGCCACTAACACTGGGAATTACTGGGATGCCTGTAGACCAACAAAGCCCAGCATACCCTTTGTTTGGTCTTGTGCAGCTACATAACAATAGCCAGGCCACATTTTGAAAAAAATTAAAATGCCCACTTCAATATGTAAAATATGAAATTCCCTAACATCACTAAGACACACTATATTATTGCATCAATGGTTTGGAGAATTTTAGAGACTTACTAACTCAAAATAAGAAGGGAGAACAGTGGGAATTAGAGCAGAAGGAAGAGTATAACAAGAGATGAGGATAAGGGTTACCATGTTTCTATATTTAGTTCGTATTCAGGCCTAAACCACAGCAATTATTCCATCACCTGATGACCCCTCCCCAGCAGAGAAGGGGGATTAGGAAAAGGAGAGGAGATTGTGGGTTGAAATTAAAATTATTTAATGAAACAACAAAACTAATATTAATACTAATGCCAATATAAATAACACAGTTATACTTAGCCCAGTCACAATAAATGGGAACAGAGTCCTCAGGGGCAAAATGGTAAGCAAGCCCCTTTAGGGATGAAAAGAAGCAGGAGGAGAAGGGCAAGGAGGAGCAGGAGCCAGAGAAAGCCCCACCCTCAGCAAACTTCCCTCTTTATAAGGAGCGTGCTGGTTTGGGTAGGAGATACACTTGTGAGGGAGCCAGCTCAGGGCAGCTGCCCTGGCTTTTGTCCCTCTCACCTTAAGCTCCTGGCTGACTCAAAACTGCTAATGGTCTCCATACCATGGGTGGTTTATGATTCTATCCCAGTGGAACCAGGACAACATGAACTTTGGCTAAGAGGTGTTTTGGAAAGTGATTTACAAAAGGAAAAGTTAACATACACCCATGCTGCAGCATCCTTCAAAGAAAGCAGAACTCAAGTGAAGCCCTGCTGGAGCTGGAGCTGAGGACCTGCTGCGACCAACTGTGTGCTGTTGTGGCATGGCAGTCAAAGAGGAGGAATTCTGGAGTCATGCAGAGAATTCAACCAAAGCAAAGAAATCTCCTCTGAGACTGTTGCCTTTACAACTCAAATCTGTCCCTGTGTGGAAGTTCATAGTAGTTGGGGCCATACCAGGTCTGAAGTACAGCACACACGCTTGTCCTACCCTTGCACACAAACAAGACTGCCTACACATGACAAAGCAGGCTAATGTAGGTGAGGGTAGTTAAGGCCCTGGCTACCATGATGCTGTTTTCAGATCTTCACTCAACAGTATTTGGACACTTATGGACGCTTCTCATGGTGGATTAGGTCACAGTTACAACTGTAATGATATGTCTTAAAATTAAAACAAAGCCCCCTAAAAAACTGCAGTACTGTTAAGCAATGATACCAAAGGAATTAGGAAGGAGGTAGTGGAAGTAGGAACAAGTATAGGAGGAGAGTAGGAACAGTTTGGGTTGGTTTTCCTTTTTTATGGAAAGGATATTTCCATTATACAAAACGTAAAATTTCCCTGTTTTAACGAACATTGAAAATAAAAAAATAAAATATTTGTGAGTGCTCTGTGATGCTGGAAGAGTATTTTTTATTTATATCTACTGTTTATTTTAGGTGCTGCTTCTCTCATCATTGTTGTATAGAACAAGTTAAGAAACTTGGATGTCATGCAGAAAGAAGTTCAAGATCCGAAGTTGTATGTTTTGATCACAAGCCAAAATGTAAGTTTGTGTCAGAGGAAATTTCTCATATCCTGGTGACAGTGTACCAGTGCATTGCAAACTGAATGCTACCATGCCTGTGAGCTGAGTATGGAGACAGAAAAGTTTGGCTTACAAAATGTTAGCAATGTAAACTGGAGCTTTTTTTCTAGCTGAGATAAAAGTTATTGGACCACCGTGTATGATGTGACCAAGTCAGCCTGAGAAAATTGCATTCAAATGTTTTATGATTGGAGACAGAAGTCATCTGTTGGTGTCTTCATGTTCACAAATTCAACTAAAGCCAGTCAGACCTTCAGCTGCCCAGCATCTTGGTGTCAGGCTTATATTTAGATAATTAAAGATGAATTTGGAGAGTAAAATTCAAGGCAGATTTGAAAACTTTATTTTCAAAAGCTCATGTACCCACGGCAAAACACTGACTAATTGTAACTGCTTTCAAACACTAATTCTGAAACTTCTTTCTAAGGTATTGGTTGGACCATGTGTGAGAAACTCCTGTGTGCTTGTGACAAGACAGCAGCCGAGTGCATGGCTTCTGCCTCTTTCAATGAAAGCCTGAAGTTCACACACAGGCAAGAGTGCCAAGGGGAGAAAGTCTCATGTCAAAGGGACCCTTATGAAAGGCCTCCAGCTGGCACAGAAACAGGCACCGCCGTCTCCAGCTCCGAGGAGAGCAGTGAGGAGGAAGGTCCACTGAGGACCTTAAGACGAGCAAAGAGAGAGAGACACCATCCCATTGGGAACTCCAGAACTGTGCAACGTGAGGGCAGATAACCCACCACCACCACAGGCTTGAGGAGCAGCACGGAGACCTTCACCCTCAGCCTCTGCGGACCTTACCCGTCCTTACCACTCTACAGGCTGCCTTGCACTTCCCAGCTCAGAAATCATGTAATCATAGACTAGGGATTAAATATTAGGCTGTATAACTCCTTGTCGTAGTGAAGCTGGCACTCTGCACCATCTGTTTAGGTCAGATATTACCCTAAATACTTATTTGACCGTATTCTGTGTTATTTCACTCAATTTGTATGTAAAAATTGTTCTGACCAAAGATTGATTTTTGTTCAGACTGGATGTTGCTGATGGTGGTTAAGTATTTCAGGTTTTTAATTAAACCAATCTGCAATGACGTCAATTCCTTTTGCAGACATTCTTCATTTACTGAGCTTAGAACAAAACACCCAAAAGAGCAGCTAAGGTTAGATTAAAATTAGTTCCTTCTTCCCTTCTGATCTAATTGCAATTTTTTAACCCAGAGTTTTTGCTGGTCAGTCAGATCATGATAGTAAAGGGCACATTCCTTGCCCCAAAGCTCTGTTCTATACATGGTTACCTCCAGTTTGGAGAGATTTCAGGATGCTAAAGGGAAATAATTTAAAGGTTCTGCTTGCTGGAATCAACTAAAACTAGTGTATTCTGAAGTATGTAATGTAAAGCTGGAAGCTTTTTGCTTTTTACTGAACCAAAGATTTATTAGGGTTTTTTATTCCCCCCAAAATTCACTAGTCATAAGGTTTACCAGTTCAGAAAACAGAAATATAATAGAATCATAGAATGTTTTGGGTTGGAAGGGATCTTAGAGATCATCTAGTTCTAGCATCCTTCCACTAGACCAGGTTGCTCAAAGCCCTATCTAACCTGACCCTGAACACTTCCAGAGAGGAAGCATCCACAACTTCTCTGGTCAGCCTGTCTCATCACCCTCACAGTACAGAATTTCTTCCTAATATCTAATCTAAATCCACCCTCTTTCAGTTTAAAACTGCTAGCCCTCATCTTATCACTACACTCCCTGATAAAGAGTCTCTCCCCATCTTTCTTGTAGGCCTCCTTGAAGTACTGAAAAGCCACAATAAAATCTTCCAGGAACCTTCTCTTCCCCTGGCTGAATAACTCCAACTCTCTCAGCCTGTCCTCGTAGGGGAGGTGTTCCAGCCCTCTTTGTGGTCCTGCTCTGGATCCACTCCAACAGGTCCATGTCCTCCTTGCAGCAGCAACAGAGGAGACAGAGCAGCAGCTGATGTTATGCTGTGGAAACACTACTGTGCTGTACGACTGGCTGCTTTTTAAAAAGGACAAATCCTTTGTCTGCCCCAAAGCAAAGCTTTAGAAACTGTTTTGGAACAATTTGCCTGTGGGAAATTTTCTTTAAAGTTGCAGAGTGTGTGACTGTTGGTGTGAACAATATTAATAACAGCAGATCTCAACAGCACTTCCTGTGACAAGCAGCTCCCTATTTTCAGCCTTCTTTGGGCTGAGAGAGGGTTGTTTGGCCTGGAGAAGAGAAGGCTCCAGGGAAACCTTATAGTGACCTT